TTATAGATCCATATGAGACTTTTTACTCGCTTTTGGTAAATGGTTGCAGCTTGCTGTATGAAAAAAAGTTTCTAATAGACGGACTATAAGAACATTGAGAAAATGAGTTTGCTTTTGAAAAAGTTATTATCTAGCCACGCATTAAAAGATGTGCATTATTTGCTTGGGTAAATGTAAACGAAATTCTCGCATTCAATTCAACACGTTTCTCTCAAACTCTCTCTCTTGTTGTTATCAACGACCGCAAGTGCATCAAGTAAATTACCGGTATCTGACTTTGCTTGATTAACAAAGCTCAATAAAATTTTGAGATGAGAATATTGGAAAAACCTTCGGCAAATTTTATAAATATGTATTATATCTGAAGTAGAATGCTTTTCATCCTTTGCGCTCTAATCCGAAAACTCTTTTTTGTGTATAAATAAATAAATATGAATACATTTTAAACATTAAAAAATTGCTATTACAAAAAATGTTGGTGCCTCCTGGCTATTGTCTCTTGTTCCTTCCATTCTAAACTGAGCGATATATGACAAATATTGACGAACGAAAGTACATGCTAATTCTTTAATTTCTAATACTTTATTAAATTCAGGCAACCGAATCCACCTCGTCCTATTTAAACGATATAAAAGTATAAAATGTATAAAACACATACAAACTTACAAACTCCATATGAAAGTAAAAAAAAAACGGGAATAGCTCGCTAATAGTTGTTGCTAATTTTAAACAATCCACAGTAGGGAACTTTGCACATTTTGCAAAGGCATAGGCTGGGGTCACCGGCTACTCACAGCATATGAAGACAGTTACCTAGTTTAACAAACAAATGGGCGTATTCTGTTGCCTGCTAAAACTCTATATGTCGCTATTGATATATTTATTATGATTTGCAATTGAAGTTTCTAAACATTTGTACACTGCGTTTCTATTTTTAGCTTTGCTTAAGAATTTTTGTTGCTGCTTCTGTTGCTTAGCTAACAAAATATTGGTCTCTTCTTTTGCTTAAAAGTTTTTTTAACTTATAATTCCTTTTTTGTTTATTCAGTGCGTGACGTTTGGATTTTTGTGCAATTGTCTTTATTTGATTGTTTGTGTTCTGTGCTTTTTATGTTTAGTTTAGAATTTTTAATTCTCTCCCGTTCACTTCCCTTGTCTATCTCTTCTCTGTGTGTTTCTTTCTCTCATTTTTTGGTCGCAATCTATCAAGCGAAAACATACATTTATAAAAACGAATAAAGAAACATTAGTTACTAATACTGCTATCAACAGAATTAACAGAATTGAATCTTTGTTTTGCCGACGGCAATTTGCATTTTGCAATGAATTTTAACAGATTACGTGAAACTTAAAGCTCTTTTAACAGATTACGTGAAACTTAAAGCTCTTTTAATATTGTTTGCTCAAATCATCTAAGCATTACTCTATATGAAGTCAAAATCTTAATGGAGAAAAATAAGAAATCATTCAGTATAGGTTTATTTTGGACACAAATCAAATAAGCGAGAGTTTTATAATAATTTTCCCTGCTTACAGTTGACATCTGGCAACGTTGTCCATATATACTATTTTTTCAAACTAAACTTCTTATTTATATGGTTTTGCATTTCACTAAGGTTGTTGTCTTTGTTATGATTAAATATTTTATTTGCTAGCTAAATGTAAAACATTTATTATCGAAAGCGGAGCATTTCGCATTGTTCAGTAAAGTATTGTAACCTAATTTGAACTTTTGTCGACATAGCAGGTAAAAACGGTAATCAAAATACAAAAAAAAAGTATGTGATATTGCTTCTTACGTTTAACTTAATTCAATAGAGCAAAGTATATTTCGAAAAATCAAGGATTCTGAAGTCAATATTTGGTCTTTTTTTTACGGACATAATTAATCGGCATACTAACTTAATTTAAATAATGTTTTGCAAACATTGTCGTTTTATTTCATTTCACTTGATTGACTGATGCTTTCATTTGTTTATTTTCTGGCCAATTTAGTCTAATGGAAAATTAACAAAATGCACGGGAAATGTGAATTAAGTTCATTTAATTGTTTTTTAATTCGAAATTTTTAAACATCACGCATAAAATGATGAATACTTAACAGTAAAAATGTTTTCTTCACTTACTTGTCAATCTATTACATTTTTGAATCCTTTACTAACGATTTAAGGCAGTTTGTAAAGCATATCTGCTCTTCTTAACTAAATACTTCAATTCATTCTTTTACTTCAATGCAATTCAGAGTAATTGCTACAAACCGCTCATTTTTTTATCTAAGATCAATCTGGGTTTTGCTTTATACTTTTAAATCCATTAGCTTTCTCGACATATATTTGTGCTCGATCAGCATATAGTTGGTTTTCACTCCTATTTAGCCCTATCCGTTTTCTTTTATTACTCACGTTGGCAAAGATTGAAATGGTGGAAAATTGAATAGAGCTTTGCGTCGAGAAGTCAAATGTAAAAATGTTTGAACGGGCTTTTTTTCTGGTTCTTGAACCAGGTATGTTCACCTTCAGGTATATCTTCTATACATGTGTAAAATTGACAGACATTCCGTTCACAAAATACTTTAGTTATTTTTTATAAAAAGTCACATAAACGGTCAGAGACTCTAAGTATAAATCTACGTGTCTCAAGTGATAGCAAGGATAACAGAAGTAACCTATTTTTATAAGGATGCAAAGAGACAAGCGCGTCCCATCCTAAATTTCTAAGGGTAAACAACAAGAATTGCTTCTGAGCTGATTCTATTGAATCTAGATAACACCTATGGGAAGGAGATCACGCAACAGACGCACGGTCAAGCATTGGTCTAATTGAGTACATGTATAGCCTTTTTTTTTCAATGTAAGGATCTTTCAGCTCTTTGGACCACCTCTTAATGCCAATAATAACCAAGCGCGGACCGAGCTTTTCTTAGAGAGAGCTCAACGTGCAAATTGAAACGTAGTTTTTCATCGAATTGAACCCTTAAATCCATGAGCGAATCAACGTTTTCTAACTTATGTACATCAATGAAATGCTCAGCATCGAATGACCCCCTTCTTAAGAAAGAAAGCTTCTTGCATTTTTTTAGATTTCCAAAGAGCAGTTAAGAGGAGTTACGTAACCTTTCTTTTTTAATCCAATTCTGCTGCGTTCTCACTTTTTTATAATGGCAGGGAAGAAATGTAAGTACAGGGTCTAAAGGTCGTCAACGAAGGATGGGGCGTACATACAGTTTGGCAAAACGTTTGCAACGCCCACAAGTAAGCATCAGAGTCCCCATAAAGTATATATATTTCTGATCAGCATCAAATTATGAATCGATTTAACAATACCTGTCCGCCCGTCTATGTAATTTCTGTTTTACACATTCTTTCAGTCGCAAAAATTAAGCTTTTAGCAGAAACATTGGAAGTTATTGCACACAAGTTTGTATTGAAAATGGGCCAAATCGGTCGAAGGACACCACTACAGTGTGACGTAAAGTGTGTGTAATGAAAAGTTTGCTTTTTGATCATTGCTTGTAAACTGTAGCAGATAAATGCACAAAAATTCTGTACAACGATGGGAAACATTGACCACGCCTACCCAGTATTAGAATGTACTGTAATATAATATTTAAATTTTTGGATTTTTTGGAAATTGAAGAAACAAGCTTAAAAAACCTCATAAAGTATATAAATTCATGGCCCGCTTCAAATGTGGTATCCACCTAAGCATGTCCGTCTGTCCTGTATCTGTGGTTAACATTCTCGCGTTATTGAAAATGAAGATACCGCCTATAAATTTGCAAAAACATTTAGAGGCGGGTTAAAGTACGCAAAGGACATGCATCTAACGCCTATATGCTTATGCGACCAAAACTTTTATTTTGAAAATAGAAAAAATCACCCAACTCCACTCCATCGCTCAGGGGATTTCTTTTATAAATGCGTGAATGGAGGCGATAAGGGTTATAGATAGCGGGCTGGAAAGAGAGGATAGTGCTTGTGAGAAGGACCACTACTGGGAAAATTTTCCAGCAGCGGTCAGTGCGAGTCACGATAGTGTGCGGGCGAGTGACTGAGAACACTGAGAAAGCCTTGTGTTTTCTGGTAAAAGGCTTTGCTTGCCCTGGATGTACCTACCTGCACTACAAGAAGTCCACATTATGCCGATGTGCGAGCGTAGATTTTTGGGCACATGTTCGTCACCCACGGGCTGCATACGGTCGAGCATTTCCAAACACAATTTGGAGACTTTCACCCACACATACGAGTTATACTTTGTAATTTTGAGAAAATTTTGATTGCTTCAAGGTTAGTGGTATCTAGAAATCATATGAATTTGTTAACAGTGAAGTAATTAATGTATGTGTCACAAAGCAGGTTATTGCGTAAAGGACATCAACACTCTTTAGAGAATGAGGGTACGGTAAAAAGATACACATGTGATTACCTCATCTGGCAGCTTTCTGACTTTTTAACGCCTTGAATGGTTGGTGCGATATGATAGTGACAAGCTTAGTAGAGATTAACCTGCATTCACATTGAATAGTTAAAGAAGGAAGATTATCCTCAACCCCTAGCTTTTTCAGTACATAGAAGAATAGAAGTAAAAACCGATTTGCATTTTTTCTTTTTACAAAGTCCTGCAATATGTATTATTTTGTAGTTGATATATATATATATATGTATGTATGCGTAGCTAGTAGCTCTATATAAGTAAACAGTTTCCGTAGTTCTGCAAGAGATTTTTGCAAATATGCTTTTACCGATTATTTAAAGCCTTAAAGAACGAACACACGCCAGAGCGAACGTAAAGATATGAGTGAAAACAACATTTTCATGGTTTATTTATTTTATATTGTTTTTTTAATTTTATGTTTGTTTTTTCTAATTTATTATCAACTTTTATGCGTACTTATTAAAAATCAATCAATGCGTTATAATACAATTTGTTGGTTGTGCGTTTCAATTTTTTTTATTTTTTTTTTATATTCTATTTATTTACTTTTTTAACATTTATTATGAATTTTTACAATTTTTGTTGTCGGATGTTTTAAGTTTTGTCACTCAATGTGAGCGAATAAATAATTGTGATTTTCTCTTTTCATTCATTTTTTTGTTTTTGTTTTCCTTTTTAAATAATAATAATAATTATCGTATATAAATTAGGAATAATTAAGAAGTTCTTTAGTACATTATTAAGTAAATAGATTTTAGATCGTACATAAAATAGCCATAAAACAAGAGTTGAACAAGGTGAAACGGAAAATCGATAGATTTTATGGGAAAGAGAGAAAGGGAGAGAGATAAGGAGAGAGAAAGTATGAACAAAAAAAAAGCAGGTAAGTAAAAGAAAAGAGTTTCACAAGCGTCTTCGAGATGTGAAAGCGGTGATTACCGATTAAAGTAATCCAATCATTTATCTCAGACTTAACAGCTAATGGCAACAACTTGTAAGTTTTGCTTTTTACTCATTTATCTATCATACATAGCATACATACAATTATATAAATGTCAGGAGGTTCTAATTAATACTTTCGTTAAATGTCCTTCGGCATGCAGGTAAATGAGTAAATCTCGTTTATATAGTTAGTGCGCAGGATGATGATGACGATGTACATCTATATATGAAACCTTATTGCTTATGATTGCAATCCGTTGTTGGATGTTTGCTTTCAGCTCAGTCAACCTTGAAATCAAATTATCAAACTCTGTGACTTTGTAGGTTTGTTTTGCTTTGTTTTTCTTCTTTTTTGGCTTAATAGACATAAATAGTTTTCAGCTGCGGCCTAAGCTCCGGCGGTATGGGCGAGGTTGATTCTGACTTTTTCGATACCAAACGTTTAAAACGGCCACTGAACTGTTTACGGAAACCTTTGAAGCCGTTTTGATGATTTGCTGCAGCCAACAGATCCTGATGCAATTAGATGAATAGATATTAAAAAATTAATAACTTTGCTCCCTTATGAAAATTAAAATGAAAATAATTACAAGTAAGAAGAAAATTACTATCATTTTGAGACGAATCTTGGGCCACGCATCACGCAAACCTATTAGCAACACTTGTTTATGTTGTGTGTATGGATACTCGCAATATCCAGAAGAGCTTGAGATAGATCCATTTTCTACTTCAATCCTCCGTCACGTCCGATACATAGTTGAAAGTTTTTGTTATTTTTTCAATCACTTTCTGCACTCGTCAAGGGCGGCACACTCACTCAATCTGAGAGTAGGCGTCCACATTTGTTTACACAATTCTCAATAATTGCAAATGTATTTGTATAAAAATTGCCAACATCTGAGAGTAAGCGAAGTGAAGTTGACGATAAGATTGACGAGCTTTTTATTGAGCCTAAAAGAGCAGCTAAAGAACACCAGGAACGAGATAGCGGTTGGGCGATAGCAGAATTTAAATTCTGTGAATTAACTATTTGCAAGTTGGAGTGCATTCCTGTGTGTTCACGTGTACCTTTGCCGATTAGCATATCAATTAAAAAGGCTACAATTAATGTGAAAAATGCTGTTTTAAATGGTGCATATTAGCGGCTATCGCTTACAAGTTCGACAAACCGTTGATAAAAGAATTACGCAAATTAGCTCACACGAGCTAACTCATAAAATGAATTATAAGATTCATTTAAAAAATTTGCTCCTCTGCTTGAAACACGGGTTGCAGTTAAAATGTATTCACAGAATACTAAAATTTAGTCAAAGGGCTTGAGATTCGAGCCGAACTAACTATTTGGGACAATGTGGTCACATTTAATATTAAATATTTGCTAAGGCAGCGAACAGACATAGGGACAAACTTGACTAAATTGACCTCGAATCTCAACCCGCACTCTATGTGCTACCAATTGAGTGAGAAAACAAATGTACTCTTGCTTCTCGATAGAGTGTATCACAAAATGTTATTAGCGCGCAAATGTTTTTATTTATAGAAATAAATCTCCTTTTTCCGGTAACAGTTCAATGTTGTCGAACATCAAAAAAATCTACACAAATTTCATTAAGCATTGGATATGTATTGCATTCACCTGTTTGACTATTTGTCTGTTGACGGAGAGAGCATACAAATGTTGTAAGAAAAAGGAAAAAAAAACCCAAACAAATTGCGAAACAATATTTCTCAAGTTTTACGTAAAAACTCTTTCTTACATGTCACCTCCTCATGTCGTTTGCCCTACTCATGCATGGGTATTGCACATCTATGTACGTATTAGTACGTATTTAGTTGGTGTTTCGTCATAGCTCTGAGTCAATTACTATATGATATGCATTAATGCAAATTCAATAATACGTCGTACGCTTCCAGGGAGATGTAGTATTTATTTATTTTGGATGAAACAACGGATTGGTTTACATTTCCATGAAATGCTTTTAAATAGAAATCTATTTTAGTTTACTGTGCAAAGAAGAAATTGTATGCACCTATGCATGCGTATGTAGGTCGTTTCATAAATAATGTGGTTTTCTTTTTATTTACTTTTTGTTTCAATTATTTGAAATGAATAACACTTCAGTTATCATGAAGAGCGAAAGCAAGGAGAAAACAGCTTATGTTAAATCAAAGAGGTGTTCGTTAATTACAAGTCGTGCAAAATATTTGCAATTGGAACTTTTTAAATCGCTTCGATAAGTTCGAAGACGACGCTTACTTATGGACTACAAATTTTCGCTTTTTTATCGCTTTACCATCAAGTGGAAGTGCCTCTGGATTACATCCGGGGTGAAATCCGTATCAATTTTTTACTTTAACGTAAGCGATTTTGATTAAAAAAGCAAAACAAAAAAAAATAGTATAAAGATGAACGATAAATAGAAAGAAAGAACGAGAGAGAGACAGCTCTTCAGCTTTATTATGGGTATTCTGTAGTAGAGAGATCTAAAAGTACGATATTATGAATAAATCAAAATCCCGTAGTACTTTGCTTAACAATTGACAGACTTATAGCAAAACAAAAAAGACTTTGAGAGAAGAAGGTAAGAAGGCCGTTGAAGAGCGTTGAAAGCTGTGAAGATTTAGATTAGAAAAGCATTCATATTTTGCATTGTATTTTATACCATAAAGCAAACGGTATTATTGCTAGAGTGATCTAATCTGCCCACACGCATAAATTTTTTTCGCTTGAATATGGTTTTTGTAAAGCTAATTAACGGCCTTCTGGCGGCGAATCAGCGTTTATTCATCTGTGGTTTATAGTTGGCCAGATTTTTTACGATATTTACATGATGATGCCACATAAGTAAACACTCCGCTACTCGTTAAATCGAATAGTTTATTGTTAACAAAGCTATGAGCGCATCACAAAGGGAGAGAGAGAGAGAGAGAGAGAGAGGGAGAGAGCGACGCATATAATAATAAATAGAATTAACATTAACGAACTATTGTTTAAACAATGAAACTGCCATCGAGCGCAAAGTTTGGAAAGGCTCTTTGAATGTTTAACTTACGGAACTTACCAAAGAAATCTCAAACCCAACAAAACGGGCAAATCAACTCATTCGCTGCCAGGATCTCTTGGGCAAAACGTTCATCACAACTCAAGATTGTTTTCGCAATTATATGGCAATTATTGGAATAGATTAGGGCATCAGATAGTCTTTACAGTCATCACAACGATATTTTTTTTGCTTTTTTGTCCTTTGAGTATGAACCTCTGTCACTGTATGTACGCATCTATGTACGTACGCGATGTCGCGCTGTGGTCAGAAATGGCTGTGTCACATATTGATAGCGAAAGTTTGAATCAATATTGAGCTTATGGGCAATCCATGACGATCGATGCCAGTAGAGACTGGCCGATGGCAGATTAAACACAAAACAGCTAACTAATCAATATTGACGTTAAGTGCAATTGCTGATGGTCGACGGCAATTGTGACTGACTAATTAGGGATTAAAGTGCTTATCATCTAATCTAATCTTGCGATATACATCTTGTTTCGCTTATGGAATTATTTTCATGTGACAGACGTAAGTAATATTTCTCAAATTTATGCCGCCTTTGTGGAGATAAAAATGTGTTATGCATGGAGAATACGCTTTCATTATGCAGTATCAATTAATATTCTTTTATGTCACAAACACATACACACACGCACGCACATTTCAAGTAATAATTGCTTAAAATGTCACCACAAATTTTACCTTTCATTTAAGCTGGTAAGTATCAGGGAAATTATTACCTGCAGGTATTTATGGCGAGACTTGATAATGTAAAGTCATTATCTGTTTCATAAATCATTTTAAGAAAGTTCGCTTTCTTAAGTTTGGCAAGCAGTCGAGACAACCCTGTGCTCATCTTTGAGTCAATAAAATCACTAATTTTATGACATTCAGTTCAGCCGAATTACTTTATGGTTTTCTAAATAGTTTGTGTGTGTGTTTGTGTGTGTGTGTGTGTGTTTGCAAATAAATATGTACAAAGAGAAATCTATATAAGATTTTGTTTTCATAATAATATACTTTTAATGTTTATATTAACAGAAAATTTGTTTGCCATAAAATGCTTACATTAATAAAAATAAAAAGAAGCAAACAATTGAATAATTGCTGGTTTTTCTGATTTTTCCCCAATGAGACCACTGTACAAACCATGCTTTTATATACGATTGATATGATTAATCAATCCATTCATTTTATTATATTTTTTATTTGAGGTTTCTTTAAAAAAAAAAAAAATAAATAAATAAATAAAAAAAACCCCGATGCAAAAAAATAAACCCACTTTTAAATTTCTTTAAACACGCGTACAGTCGTGCCAAGTCCAGAGAGGAGCTTTGTTTCTAAGTGTATGCGCTTTGGGTTGTGTGTTTTCATGTGAGCTATGAATGATCGATTGTAGCTTAAAGAAAATAAAAAAGCTCTCGTTAATATTTCTTTTGAAATGTGTTTCTCTCAGTATAGCACGCTTTGCGGGTGAATACAGATGAATAATAGTAGCGTACGTAGCAGCAATAGTATTTCAAAAAAAGAAAACACACACACACACATACACACATACACGCATACACCTACACACACTGACCCAATGAAGAACTCACTCCTCTCCCAGCGTTAGTCAATAAAATAACGTAAGAAGCGGTTGGGCGAGCGATCTATAGAGTTTTAAATATAAATATAAAATTCACACTTTCCACTTGCCACCGAACCGTTAGACTGATCGCTTGCATCAGTCAGAAATTCGTTTCAAGTGCTGCAAAAGGGTGCGAGTTTTGAAACGATCTATAATTGTATAGACAAGACAATCCCTTAAATCGCTTAATATTAAATGTAACATATGAGATAAGGTCGCTTAGAAACAAAGCATCAGCAAAACAAAGGAGTTTAAGAGAATACAATGCATATTTCCCCCTTCTTCTCCTATTATCTCTCCGCAAACTTTTATACAAGTTTAGTTTTCCTATTCATTGCTTGCAGTAAATGTTTAGTTTATCCAACATTGTTACATGTCTGTCCGTTCGCGCATTTACTTAACGATTGTTTAAATTGTCTTGGATGCAAAAATAAAACCTTGAAAACCATCAAGCAGTTAACTGTGTCGACCTCTTTAGCGATACACGTGCATACTTCTCAAATGCTGGGCGTGTGTAATATGAAATTAGGTTATAATGAAACGACTTGACAAAATGTATAATTATGACAAATGCACATTCATAATGACAAAATTTGACGAGGAAATTCGTAAGGGACGAACGGACTGACGGATCATGACGTATACAGTCAACTCATAATTCTCCAAAGGTGGGAACACCTTCCTAATCCCAAAAATAATATATAAAAAAATATCTCTACGAGACTAAGAGCTTATCATTTAAATCAGGTCTTGGCAAATCCATCCATATACTGCACTTAGTATTTTATGTTCACACTAAACGAGAGCGTCAGTAACTTTCTCATTTGTTCTTGCGG